CAGCACCCATCTTGAGTAACTCTTGCTGTAACTCTCTGATTTTAAAACGTATTTGTAATACTGAAGGAGCCTAGAGGCCTATGTGAGCTTTGGTATGCTAAGAAGTGCCAATGACAGCCCTTTGTTTCTTTCAATACTGATAGGGAAATGACTTCTTTGGTGGAGGGGAACTATGCTTCTTTGGACCTAACTTTGCAGCCTTTTGTTAATGATAAAGGGTGGTTTAGTCCCTTTTGTAGCTGCTTCTCAGCTAAAATAGGATGTTGCCATGCAGGAAGGCAGGAATTCTGCATAAAGGTCTGGAGGAGGCAGGTACTTCTGATCAGCTGTCAAGGTTTTGTTGGAACATCTAAAGCTAGTGAAGTACCAGTAGCTTTGAAGCTGTATGGAATGCTGGTCCAAAGCAGAGGCTGAAGCTGGTAGGAAGATTTGTCAGAAGCATCTGGTTTATAATGGCTTCAAGTACAGGGCTTGCTAGTTTTGGAGGGCCACCTGATGGTGTGTTTGGAGCAGTTTTCAGTCTTTAGTTGATCAGAAATATGCTGGGACAAATATATAGACTAGGAATAGAAGTTAAACTTTAGGAACTTAAAGGAAAATATTTCATTTGAAACATTTGGGCCCATTGCCCTGGTAATGGAAGACCAGGGAAGACAGAGAGAGAGCTCATCCTCAGGGATAGCCAGTTAAGGACACCTACCTGCACTTAGGCTTTACTTCTAGAGCCCAGTTGACCTTTGAGACTTATGACTCCCTTGATTCCCCATAGCTTACATGAATTTTTTAATTCAGAAAAAGATAAATATTTTAGCTACATTCACATCACCACTGTTTGTAATCTGTAATCTGTTTGTAAGCTAAGAGTTGTCCATAAAAAAGTTGGAGTGGACTATGCCTCTGAGTCTTAGCAAAAGCTATAGATTTGGGTTCAAAAAGTATGAACGTTTTTTTCTCTGTTCAGAGAGCCAGATATATTGGGATTGGACAGAGATGTATTTAACTGAATGAGAAATACTTTTAAGTCTATACTTACAAGACAACCTGTTGGAATAATATTCTTGTGCACTGTGTAAAGGTAGCCTTTGCATTATTCAAATGTTGATTTCTATACCAGCAGGGAACTGAAGATAGGGTGTGAACTTTGGAATTGTTATTCTAACTGCTCAGGACCTTGCATCATATTTTGTAAGCATACTTCTCCATCATCTTCTTATTGGTTTAATAAAGATGTGATTGCCTATAGCAGGACAGGAGAGGAAAGGTGGGACATCCAGCCAGGGATAGGAACTGTGAGAATTGAGAGGTATAGGATTTGCCAGCCAGACACAGAGGAATTCACATGTATGGAGACTAAATGACTAAATGTAATGGGACATGTGACAAATTCGTACTAGTATAAATGGCTAAGTTATAGATACTAATTGAGAACAAGCCTAAGCTATTAGTGTTATCATTCCTTCTAGGCTTTGTCCCACAGTTACCTGGCAACAGCCAGGTATGCCTGACTCACTATAAAAGGAGCTTTTTGTCCCCTCCTCTCTCTTGCTCTTACCCTCTTAATCTCTTCCCTCTCTGTCCTTTCTCTCCCCATTTCCCTCCCCCATCTCTCTCTATGTGTTCCTGGTCGGCCTTCCTCCACCCCTGCCATTCTCTGTCTCTACTACCCCCTCAACTCTCCTTCCCAGGCCCTAAATAAACTCTAGTCCATACTATATCCATTCTCTGGCTGGTACCTCATGGTAAAGGATGCCTCAGCATGGGCTCGGCAGAGGTATCCCCTCCCCCACAGGATACATACCCCTGGCTTCCTTTCCTTTTTTATAAAACACAACATTAAGGCCTAAGCTTTTATAGATAATAAAAAGTCTCCATGTTGTTATTGGGAGCTGGTGGATCAAGATGGTCTGACAGTAACAGTCAAAGAAACTTTAAGATCTTGAGGTTGTGACTGAAGAGTAAGTCATCAGTGCTCTACTACCCAGCTTATCAACATTTTATTAATCAATGTTAAAACTCTGAACTTTTGACATCTAGTAAACAATAGGCATAAAGGGGGAAGAAATTTGAAATGTTTTTCATTTTTCATAAACGATAAGTCATTTTTAACACTTTTTATTAATTCTCTGTAAGTTTCACATCATGTACCCTACTCACACTCACCCCCTTAGCCCCTCATAGCCACCCTTTGCTTTCGCAACCTCACCCCCAAAATATAAAACACACTCAAACAAAACAAAGCATAGAAAACATCGCATCATGGAAGTTGTTGTATGTCACAGTGTGTTCTACAACATATCTCTCTGCCCACACACCTTTATTTAGAACCGTTCATTGCAAGAGTCAGTGGTCTGGTTTTCGATCTCTGGCTTCTGTGACACCATCAACATTGAATCCTCATTGGGACTCTTTCTGGTTATCCTGTTGTTTTACCTGTGTAATGGAGATCCTGCCTCTTTGGATCAACCAGAGTGGCACTTTCACACATCCCAACCATTCATATAGATGATATAGATTTTGCGGTGGTGGTCAACTCAGAGCCCTAGATCTGGGCCTAGGTGGTAACTGAGCTAGTCAACATACCAATTCTCCCTTTTCTATACCATCAGGGTGAGTTCTCCAGCAGTGCACTGGCTAGGCCATCCAATGTCACCATCAGCAGAGGCAAAGTCAGCTGCTCTTCTGCTCTCATGTCCTTCTAGTTCACCCACACCCAGACCTCCAGCACCAGCTCCACTGTGCTGCCCAGTCAAGGCTTACCCTCCCAAGTGCTGCAGCCTTTGAAGGACAGGGACAGCTCTCCTGCTCTCATACCTTCAAGGATGGCTCACTCATGCCTTTGCATTCAGGGCTAGCTCTACTCTGTTGATCAGAGGAGGTGCAGGCCAGCTCTCCCAAGTGAGCTAGCTAAGTGAGGGGCCAAGGCTAGCTCTCCCATACTCATGACCCCAGGGCCAGCTCTCCCAACTTGCTTCAGGAGGTGAGGGGTTGGGAGAAAGGTATCACCCCCTACTCCCATGCCACTTCACCATAGAGAGCTCTCACTATTGGGGCTAGTTTATATGCTTCCCCTTGACCAGGGCTAGTTCTATTGTGCTGCCCAGATGAACTGCAGGGCCCCTCTCTAGAATATTACAGCCAGTAAGGAGCAAGGACAGCTCTCCTGCTCTCCTTATTTAGGGGTCAACTCTCCTAACTACAGCCAGTGTCAACAGACAAGAGCACATCTGTCTCAATCCCCCAACTTACTCATGGCCATCCCACAGCAGACAAATGGCATGGTCAGTTTGCCCACACTCATGCCCTCAGGGTGGGCTCACCCACACCACCTATCCTCCATCCCTACTCCACATGACCAGGGGCTAGCTCTACTGTACTCTCTAGGAGAGTCACAGGGCCCCAGTCTCCTGAATGCTGCTGCCAGTGAGAGGTGGGGCCAGCTCTCCAGAGCAGCATAACCAGTTAGGGGTGGAGCCATCTATGTGGCCCTTTGCAATTTGTATTTACATAGTTTAAATCATTTTCTTAGACCCTTGAAATTTACTTAAACTTTTATATTTTCAGGACTTTATACATCTTAGAACACCTTCTTATACTCTCAGAACTTGCATAGACTTTTAACAAAGAATCTCTGAGCCAGATTTGAAATTGCTATGCAGGAGGGATATAGGGAAGGAGTTTTAAAGGGGAAAACCACACAAACACCTTCAGTATTTATAGCAAGTAAAAACTGTTCTGTTCTCTTCTGCCAAGCAAAGCGATTTTTAAGTTAAGTTTTGAATTAAGGCAACTCAAAACCAATCTTTGGATATCTGCATAAGCAAGTTACAGAAGAAAAAAAGCAATTTGTTATATCATAACAAGTAGATAGTCACAGGTCTACATTTTTTGGATAGGTATCACTGAGTCAGGGTTACTGGGAACATCCAGGAACTGGAGTCAGAGACTGTTGGGTACCAAGATATATGCCTAACATACAATTCTTTAGCTATAACAAGTCATGAACAGTCCAAAGAATTACTTTTTATCTTTTATGTTTTATTTAGTGGACATAACAAACTAAGCTACATTTTTGTGGCAGGAATTGTGTTGTTTACATTGCATATTCAGAACTTAGCATTATACATGGGACTGAGTGTGCTTTCACTACTGATTGGAACTCTGCAGAGTGGACTATGAAACTTGTGTGAGTTTGCTATAATTTACACTACTTCATCTGGAGTTAATCCTTGTGTTTATAGGAAAGTACATTTGTTGAAAACCTTCAGGTGTTATATAAAGTTATTTTAAAATATCAAACTCAAAACTCGAAACAAGCATTCAAGAGGCTTGAGGCAGGAGACTTGTAGGTTATTTTTTCTTCTTGTTGAATCCTAGGCCAGCCAGGGCTACATAGCAAAACCTTGTCTCATGATTAAATTTAAAAGATGATTTTTTTTAAAAGGTAAACAAAAGAGAAGAAGAGGAAGGAGAGGAAGGAGGGGGAGGGAGGAGGAGGAGAAGGAGGAGGAGGAGGAGGAGGAGGAGGAGGAGGAGGAGGAGGAGGAAGAAGAAGAAGAAAGCAAAGCACATTATCAGATCTTTGTAAAGCTGAAGAAGCCAAAAGACTGTGTATGGCTTTCATAAGTCCTGTGATTTTTGTTTTGCTTTTTAGAAACCAGTTTGGGTGCTAGCTTCCTGATAGTAAGTCTGTTCTTTGGTATTCCCTGCACTTCCAATTTAATATTGTAGTATAGAAAGATAGATGAACGCACAAAAGAGAGCTGTGTTTGCAGGCACATAGAGGACTAATGACAAGCCTGGCAGGCAGCGACTACTCAGGAGTCTTTGGATGGCAAGCTGCCTAGCGCTATGGGTCCTTTCAGTGCCACCAGCTGAGCAGCCACGCCCCTCTGCGACCACGGACGCTGCCACGCCCCCTCCGCGGCCGCCACTCCAGCAAGGGTTTCTGGGAGCCGGCTTAGGGTCTGAGGAAGGGGCGCTGGAGGCCGCCATCTTGGGTTGCTTGACTGCTCGCCGCAGACGGGCTGCAGGCAGAGTCTACCCTGTGCTGTCCCCAGCCGAGGTCACCGCGGGAGAGTGCAAAGAAGGGCTCGAGAGAGCACCGCGTGGATGGGTAAGTGCGAGGGACGCAAGCCGGCCGCCCCATGCGGGGCTAGGAGCTCCGGGTGATGGCGGGGTGTACACACCTTTCCCTGAGAAGGTTTCCGGACCAGGATCGGTGTCTCACCTCCCAGAGGGCCACAGCCGCGGGGGCGTGGCAGCGATGACACTGCCCGGCCGGCTCCCGACGCCCCGCTCCCGACCTGCTCAGGGTTCCTTGGTAATTTTCCATACGTAGTTTTCTGGTCATCCCAGTGTGCTACGGGATGCCTTATGGAGTATCTCAGCGCCTGCAGGAGAGACAGGATGGCTTGGGGACCCTCCGTGCTGCACCGGAGTAGGGGTTTCTTGCCTTCAGATCCAAAGCTAGCAACCCTGGGTTCCACTCTTCCTTCTGTCAGCTGTCCCCCATCCCCTGGTTTTCAGGATGAAAATGTAATGCATAATAGTTGTAAGGACTGGGAAGCTGTGAAAGGTCGTAGGGAGCGAGACGCCAAATATGAAATTTACATGTGAGTTTATTACACACATCGAAAATGAAGGGGTCGGGGCGGGGGGAGACTTGTCTCAAAATTGGTACTCAAAAATTGCTAATGCTTTGTAGGAAACAAGCTTGTTAAAAGTAAGCAAGGAACTCTTACGTTTGGTCGTAGGGGATTAGAGTTGACACTCCTCTCTTCTGTACAGGTTTGTCATCTTCTAACAAGGTGTCCAAACACAGGAAAAATGAAGTCTTTCCTGTCTTGAGAAATTAAATTTCGTTAACAAATATCAGAAAAACAAAACCCTTGTCAATTCAGATTCCAGTTATGTCCCTAACTTCATCCAATAAGATTTTTCTAAGAACCTGCTTTTAAAAAAAAATAAGTTTATGAATGGAAACAAACAAACACCAACCCACCTCAGTTTGGCAACTTTAAAATGTCTGAATAGCATTTCTTGTATTTTAAATAATTTGTGTGAAATCCAAATCTTTGAATTCCAGTCTTTAAAAAACTCGTTTTCCAGCAAAGTAAATTTCTTTGAGTGAGACAACACAGTGGAGATGTCAAGATGCAGAAAGTTAGTACCACTTAAAAAAAGAAAGAAAATAAATACATGTTCTTGGTACTACATTTTATTTGGATTACAAATTTAAATTGAAATGTGTTAGTGTTGTTGACAAAGTTAATAGTCTAAGAAGTATGGAGAACTAAGAAGTATGAGTGGTGTGATGGGGTTGAAGGGCCCAAAGCGGTCCAAGTAAGTGTGAATATAAAATATTAGAACTTAGCCAGGTGGTGGTGACGCACGCCGTCCGTTAGTCCCAGCACTTGGGAGGCGGATTTCTGAGTTTGAGGCCAGCCTGGTCTACAGAGTGAGTTTCAGGACAGCCAGGGCTATACGGAGAAACCCTGTCCCCCCCAAAAAATATTAGAACTTTTATTCTTTTACATTTTTAATTGATTCCTTGAAGAAAATGTCTATTCATGTAATTTTCACAATGCAGTGGATACATTATGATAGTAACACATGTATAAAGATAATAGTTGAAGCAACCAGGGAAGTAGCTCAGGTTCCACACTACTTACTAGGTAAGCATGAGGACCTTTGTAGTCCTCAACACCCATGTAAAAGACAGGGCATGGGCATGTGGTGGTGCCTGCCCACGTTTAATCTTAACACTTGAGAGGCAGAACTAGGCATGTCTCTGAGTTTAAGGCCAGCCAGGACTGTACAACAAGTTCTGAGCCAGCAATTTCTCAAGGCTACTGCTCTGATAAGATACTATGATCTAGGCAACCTACAGTACGAAATCACAGCTTGAGACAAAGACAAGGCAGAAAGGGAGACATTAGGAATGATCTAAGTCTTTTGAAACCTCAAAGCCTAATCCTTCCCAATTAGCTTTACCAACTGGGGGCCAAGAATTCAAACATCTGAGCCTGTGGTGGCCAATCTCTTTCGAACTACCTCTTAGGCAGATAATAAATTGCTGCAATGCATTAAATATGTCAAAACTGGATTTTGAATAGCTATAAATGTGTCATACATTCTGAATGTGTACTCTGTCACCAAGCTACACCTTACCAACTGAACACTTTCCTTCATTCTTGAGTTCTCAGCCGATTATGTTGTAATTTAAACTCCAAGAGTGAGCTTTGTTTCACTGTCTTTACCAGTGACTTCTAATTATGATTCTGATACCTGGCTTATTTGCCTGATGTAGGGTGTATTGTTAATGCCAGTACAACTCAGATACTTCTCCAGCTCCTGTTCTTTGCACTCTCCTCACTCCCTTGATTTTTCTTCCCCTCTTGTTTCTCCTGTTTCTTTTTGGTTTCTTTTCCTTGTATCTTTTTTCATGAATATGTGGATACTATCAAGAGTTTTCCTGGTCATCTTTCTTTTTGTGGCTATCCACGCTGTTAATTGATTTAGTCAGTGCCCTTGTATGTTTTCACCTGTATTTTAACCATCTGTATAGTGAAAAACAGTCTTCTAAACTCAGTATTCATCTATTGAAATGATAACAATGAACATCAACAACATCCTTATTGAGATTGCACTTGTTTTCTCCCCTTAATTTCTTTAGTTCTATTCTGTAAGATCAAGTTTGAGTTTATTAGCTGGAGTCAGGAGCTATATTTGTTTTATGTTTATAGCTTCAGTATCTGCCTCTTTCCCCCTGAGTCCTTTGGTGAAGTACACCTTATTTCTTACTGCTGTCTTCCTTCAAATCTTTTGTATTTATATCTTCATATGTTCTCTTTGTTTGAAATACTTGTCCTTTTTTTTTTTCCTTTTCCATTCTTTAACAGAGATTAGTAGTGGAGCCTTTCTGAGCTTTCTGAAGTACAGTTGATTAATTTATCTTACTATGCTCTCACAAGACAGAGTGTTTATATTTTACTGTACTTCATTGCTTTTACATCTACAAACTAGTGTCGTATATCATACACAACAGACAGATGAAAGCCTCTTCTGTTTACTTTGTAAGGTAACTGATGACAGTAGTCTCTGGTCAGGCCTAGGTATGTTCCTCAACATTGTAAGAATATATTAAATAATCACTAATCATCCATCTTGTTTAACTTTTGATTGAAGTACTACTTTACACTGCTGTTTTGTTTTCATTTCTACACCCAAAATAGGTTACAACATAAACATAAAATATTCATTTCGTCTACCAGTACCATGTAGCTGGTTTATACTTATCTGAATGTAAAACTAATATGTATATTTCAAATATAACATTTCATATTTATGTTTTAAAAATATTTGTGTTTTTGTCTGTTTGTTTTGAGACAGGATCTCACTGTGTAACTTCTCTGTGGCCTAGAACTCTCAATGTAAATTAAGCTGGCCTTGAACTGACCGAGATCCAACTTCCCCTGTCTCCCAAGTGTTGGCCTTAAAGGCATGTGCCAAGACAACTAGTTTTGTGTTGCCATTTTAAAATACATTTGTAATAGAAATAAAATATACAAACACTTCATTTGGACTGAAAACTGATAGTACAGTCACAAAACAATGACCTTGATGACCTTGGTAATATCTTAAGTGACAGAAGTCAGACTCCGTTAAATCATTGAAGTGTTCTGCTTATTGGTGCTAATACCATATTTTATTGAAAACAGGACTGTATAATACTGGCTCTTTCTTGATTTTACCAGCAGTGTAATTCAAGAGTTTCTTTTACCCAGATGGTTGATGAGTTTCATGAAAGAGATTGAAAGATGTATGTCCTCCAGAAACGTTAACATAGCACAAAGGGCCAAGGTGTTGCATATTGGGCTGTTTTAGACTCATATTTGTTACTCATTTAATATTGCTAAAGCACAGATTTGATTTGTTCCTGCCAAAATTTGTATCCACATTTTATTAGGAATATAGAAGCCCTTTCATGGGCTAGCATCTTTGTCCCCCTGTCTTTTCTACAAATGCCTGCTAGCTTGCCTTTCTGCTTCTCTGCTGTGTATGAATCAACCTGAGGCTTCATTGCAAGTGGGATATCTGCTGGCTCCTTCTTGACCTTGATATCTGTGAACTAATTAGTTCCTCTTTTTTTAACCTCTTTTAAAAGTAAGTTGTTTGCGTCTCAGTGGTCTTTAAAGTATCAGGAAATGTGCTGTGACTAAGAAGTTATTATTAAACTATGTGTTCATTTTGCTCCAGCGTGACAGAGGTGTGAGAGAATGTATTTTTTGTCTGTAAGTTTAAAGTGGTTTTATTGATCTGTATAATCAGTGAGCTTAAATGTAGTTGCCTAGAGTAAGCCTCTTATATTGTTTTGAAAGTTATCCCTGTCTGTTTTCTTCCCCTAAGATTCAATGGCTAGTCCTGGGAAGGATAACTACAGAATGAAAAGTTATAAGAACAAAGCCTTAAATCCTCAAGAGATGCGAAGGCGAAGAGAAGAAGAAGGAATACAACTTCGAAAACAAAAAAGGGAAGAGCAGGTAAGTATTCTTAGATACTTAGTTTTATTTAGTAGCAACAAATCCGTCCTTCCACTCACCCACTCAGTATCTCTTGTGGAGGTTTGCAACTTTAATTATTATTGCTATCTGTTAGAAAATTTAAATGCTAATTGATTTGCTAAATCTATTCTTTGTTTCCAGAATGATATTTGTAAATTAATTAACTAGAATTCTGTACTGTTTTAGTCACTGACTGGAGAGACTTTTCTCTTGTGTCCATAAACATTTTATTCCCACTGCTAAAAATGTTTACTTTTAGAAATTTAGACCACTTCCAGTTTGTAGAATAGAATTTACGCTCAGAAAACACATTATACATCTCTGTATTTCATAAGGTTATCTTTCCATGTCTCATTCTGTGTTTTCTTTTTTTTTTTTTGGTTTTTCGAGACAGGGTTTCTCTGTATAGCCCTGGCTGTCCTGGAACTCACTCTGTAGACCAGGCTGGCCTCGAACTCAGAAATCCGCCTGTCTCTGCCTCCCCATTCTGTGTTTTATATGATTCCTAGTATATGTCTATATTCCATAGCCTCTATTTATACTTTGCATATGCACCATAAATAATATAAAGTCATTTAAGTGTACTTGTCAGAATTTTCCATTCCAATGTAGATTTGGAAATATTTATAACTAAGTAAGTAGTCCTTACAATAACAGATTAAAAATAATATATGAAAAGGACTAGTGAAAAAAGCCCAAAAAAGGCTGTACAGAAATAGAATAATTATGAATGTAAGCCTCTGTGTTCAGTATCTTGCAGGACTTCACATCAAAAAAGAAAAAAAAATGTATCGACTAAGTGAAGTTTGTATAGACTGAGGAGGAGCTGTATTAGTCATCAAAGCTCAAGGAGTTTTTGTTACTTGGGTTGTTTTGTCTTTATATTTTTTGAACGATGGAACTAGCAAGTATAGGGCTATTTTTCCTGAAATTTTTTCCTATTGCTTGTTTTATTTTGTTTCAATGTCTTATGTAGCCCAGGCTGACCTATGTTTTTTTTTTTTTGTAGGTGAGGATGACCTTGAGTTCTTAGATCCTCCTGCCTCTACCTCAGGTGCTAGGATCACAGGCACGTGCCACCACACCCAGCTTCCTCTCTCTAGCTTGTTATTTATTCTGTGTGACTTACTTTCTAATCAAGATTTCCCTTTTTTCAGAGTTGTTTTTTTGTTTTAATTATGTGTATTTGTGTTTGTCTGTATGAGTATGTGTGCACATGAGTATGGTTGCAGGAGTCTAATTCTGGTTCTCTGCAAGAGCTGTGTGCACTTTTAACCACGGAATCATACTCCAGCCCATAATGAAGAGTTTCTTAGAAAAATCTTCAATGATTGGTAATTCAATACAGAAATATGCCTTTTCAAATCCTACAAAATATATGTCTGTTTTAATGTTTTGAATTATAAAATCAGTTTCTTTTACTTACATGATAGAAGGAGTCCTATGACAGGTGAGTGATCTTTAAAAACTCTGTGTATAAAATAATTTCTCTTTATTGCAGTTGTTCAAACGCAGAAATGTCTCTTTGCCCAGAAATGATGACTGTATGCTAGAGAGTCCCATCCAGGACCCAGATATCAGTTCTACTGTACCTATTCCAGAGGTATGTTTTACAAAAATGTATCATGGTTTATAGTATGCCTCATAATAGTTCAGAGACAGTGTTACATCAAATAACATGAATAATATTCATGCAAAAATACTTATATGTTAATTTTTTGTTTGTTTTAGGAAGACATGATCACAGCAGACATGATTCAGATGATTTTCTCTAATAATGCTGAACAGCAGCTGACTGCAACACAGAAATTTAGAAAACTGCTTTCTAAAGGCAAGAATTATTTTCAGTGTCTTATTTGATCTTATATTTATCTCTTATATTTATAGTATAGATTTGTATTTTTTAACATCTTGAAACATTTTTCCCCCTTTTTTCTTTTTTCTTTTTTTTTTTTTTTTTTTGCCAGAGACTGGTCTTAATTTCTGTTTAATCCATATTATCCTGGTATGGTTGTGTACACCTTTGTTTTATTTTGCTTTTTGTTCTTTAAGAGGGATTCTCTCTATTTAACCTTGGCTGGCCTGGAGCTTACTAGGTAACTCAGTCTGGTCTCTTAACAGGTAGACCCACCTGCCTAAGCACCCAGCTAGGATGTGTGTGCCTTTAATTCCAGTACTTGGGATACAGAAGCAGGCAGATGTGAGTTGAAAGCCAGTCTGGTCTACATCATGAGTTCCAAGCCATCCAGGCCTGTGTAGTGAGATCCTGTCTGCAACAAAACAAAAAACCTGTTTTAAAGTAAATTGTTAAATAATTGTAGAAAATTATAAATTGTAGGAGAATCTAAAGAAGCAAATATAAAAATAATTCTGTTACCAATAAACAAGGCTATAATCCTTATAGAAATAGTATTTAGACATACTTTTTGTTTGTTCATTTTTGACTCGGACACGAGGTTTTACAGTGTAGTTAATGATGGCCCTAAACTCTTCATCTTATTGCTGCAGCTTACCAAGTGCTGGGAGTTCATATATGCAACACTGTACTTGGCTCTTTCATTATTTACTGACCATTTGTAATTCAAAATGGAGTATTTATTCAATTAATTTTAATATTGTTTCAGATGTAGAACTTACAGAATTGGGAATTTGAATTGTAAGGAATTTTTAAACTGTTAAGATTTTGCAGATGAGACCAGCAAGAGTGCTAGGTGGGTAAAGAAGTTTACCACCAAACTCTGTGATCTGAGCTTGATGCCCAGAACCTGTATGGTTGAAAAAGAGAATTGACTCTCCTCCCAAAAGTTGTCCTCTGTCCTCCACACTTGCACAGTGACATACAGTCCTATGTGAACAAGTATACATAACCACGTAAAATAAGTGTAAGAACATTTAATAGAAGAAAAAATATTAAATAAATTTTACTTTTTAATACTTTTAACGTCATTCCATCCTTCATCTTTGAATAGCTTGGCATTTTAAGAAATTCTTACAAAATCAAGAACAGCTTCTTTTTTATCTCAGTATTTTAGTATGTTTTTACAATTGATTTTTATTTTTTCTGATTCTTTTTTTCATTATATTCTCTTTAAAGATTTTTTTTTGACAAATGTATAGGATCTCATCTGATTAAATGATTTCTGTAGACTATGTTTGAGAATTTTAAAGTTGCTGTCATCATTTTTCTACCACATCTTTTTCATTATTTTTATTTTGATTCTTTAAGAAGGTAGTTTGAAAGAGTTTTAAAAATCTGTTATCTATGATTTCATTGTCTGAGTTGAGACTGTTTTAGAAAGAAGACTTTATTTTCTGTTTCTATTGCCAGATTATTCTGTTTCTATTATCCTTTATTAAATCATAAGCAGTTGTTTTTCACTGTTGCTTCTTAGTAGTTGGATTTGTTAGCCTAGATCGGACATAAAACAGGAATTATAAATGATTTACTGATTGACATGGACTCCTGCCAGATATATCAGGGCTAGAAGAATATTAGAGCTACTATACTTCTATTTGATCTATTAGTATAGAAAATTGTATAGAGAACAAGAAGTGGATAGAACTATAAGTAAAACCAGCAGGAAACTTGTAGTTCTTCATCATTAAGTAATATTCTAACTGGTGGTACTAGGGAGACAACGTATATCCCTGGCTACTGCATAGCCTACCATTAACTTCAGCATGTCCTGGTGTTCACATCAGGTAATAACCTTTTACTAAAACCCTCTTCTCTGCCTCACCATCATGAACACTCTTACAATATAAGTCACTAGTCACTTCTTCAATCGCAGTTTTACAGAAACTGTTCTGTTTTGTATTATTCCTTATTTTCACTGCTGAAGCATGTTGCTTATGTTTAAATTGCCAAAGTGACTATGAGTCTTATTTATAACCTTTATAAGCTTTTACAGACTATTTTATTATATAAGATTAATAACAGTTCATGGGATGTGTTAAATTAGCTGATAATTTTATTCACTTTAATTGGTTTCTTTTAGATGGAATGATAAAATGTTGCTTTAGCTTTGCCAGGAGAGACTGCATTTGTGGTTTTTTTTTGTTTTTTTTTTTTGTTTTTTTAGATTTATTTATTTATTATATATGAATACACTGTAGCTGTCTTCAGACACACCAGAAGAGGGCATCAGATCCCATTACAGATGGTTGTGAGCCACCATGTGGTTGCTGGGATTTGAACTCAGGACCTTTGGAAGTGCAGTCAGTGCTCTTAACCACTGAGCCATCTCTCCAGACCTGCATTTGTGTTCTTACCTAAATAACAGATCTGTATGTTTGCTGACCTGTAGATACTGATGTAGCTGAAGTTTGGTGCCCATTTCTTATGGACTTACGTTTCTTCTCCTATCTCATCACCTTTGTCCCAAAAAGGAAAACCAACTCAGAGTTTCTGTCTTCTAAATTAAATCAGAGGAAAGTTTAGAGTTTTCTTTCAGGAAAAGAAACATGACTGTATTTCCGAAATTCTGACCTTTTGAAAGGTAGTAAGTAAAGGGGGATAAACGTCTGCTGAGGCTCCAGAACTAGAGCAATTGTTTAAGGTGGGGGACGGGAGGAACAAAGTGTATTTTCATTTAGAACACTTGGAAACAATTTAATGAATATAATTTTGTCATGTGTGCAGGAGTCAGAGGGGAGAATGAGAATCCTCTCTTCTGTGACTTGATGAATACCTGCTTTAGTACCAGTCAGAGCAAAGAGCGATAGTGATGTGCGTGTGCCTCTGCTATGTTATTTATACACTCATATTACACACCCCCCCACACACACACATATCCACATCCACACACACCACAGCTAATGAAAACACAAAAGTATCGTGTGGAACATAGGAGAAAAGAACTTAGTTAAGGATGTCTGAAGTTTTATAAGTGATAATGAGTGACTAATGAATTTAACAAAATAGGTTAAATTTTCTATGAAGACAATAGAAGACTGGTAGCAACAGCAACCCAGAAACTACTGAGCCACTGAAAGCACTTTTTATTGAATCAGAGGTAGAAGAAAGATTTCCTTGTATTTAGTTGGTCCATACTTGAAATACATTTGTTTAAATTTTATATGAATTCCAAGAGGATTTGTGATTCTCAAAGTCTGCTTTTTCATGAAAAAAATTTGAGATTTTTAGGTAGTCTAATAGCACTTTTAAAAATAATAAATAATCTCTAGACAAAGTGAAATCTTGACTAACTGAGATAGGAAAGTGAATGATTATTGCTAGTGGGGAAACATCCTTAGAAATTGACAATAGTGCTATAAGGATTTAGTGAGGACTTTCTCAGTTGGTATTGTGAATATTGGACCTACATCCTCTCCATCTTGTAAGAATGATCTCTTCAGTTTAGGAAATATATTTTCATTTCCTATCATTATAATTATTGAAAAGGTGTAAAACGAATTATGATAATGATAGCATTTATCTGTAGTCACATCCAGGTAAGAGTTTAAACTTAGGTCAGAGAAACCTAGGGAAACTGTTTCCTATGTGTGATAGTTACCTTGCTTGCCAATTTGTTAAACTTTAGAATCACCTAAGGACAGGCCTTTGATCATGCCTGTGAGGAAGTATCTTAATTAACTGAGATGGGAAGACCTGCCCACTGCTGTTAGCACCACTGCATGACTGCAGTCTTGGACTATGTAAATAAATGAAGAAGGAACCGCTTGTAGGCAGGCATTTGTTGCTCTCTGTGGATGCAGTGGACCCAGTTTCTTCAAGCTCCTGTCAGTGGGACTTCTTTGTTATGATGGTCTATAACTGATTTCTCCCTTAAGTTTTTTTTTTTTTTTTTTTGGTCAGGATATTTTATCACAACAAAAGAAGAAGAAAAAGAAAGTAAGATACCATGTTGCATGAAACAAAGATGTGTTTATTGTTACCTTTGTGTGTATGTAACAGCCTTTCTTTTTAAATCTTAGAACCCAATCCACCAATAGATCAAGTTATCCAGAAACCAGGAGTTGTACAGAGATTTGTAAAATTTCTTGAAAGAAATGAAAATTGTACTTTACAAGTGAGTCTGAAGTTTTCTTTCTTAATCATTTTCTAGAAATGACTGACTTTTTCATGAAAATGACTTCTTACAATGCTAACTATATTATAAGCATTCATTAAATACATATTAAAGGAAAAGTAGGTACCACTCTTGGCTAAGGCATGGCTTAGTGCTAGTTTCTGTTAATAGTTTGGTGAACAGATTCAGAAAGCATAAACTCACAGCTAATACTAATGAAGTTTTATAGTTATCAACCTTTATTAACCATTTTCTTTTAGAAAACTCAAACTAAAGTGTTAATCTCATTATTAAACTTTTTTCTTTCTGAGACAGGATCTATTTATGTACCCTTGGCCTTAAACTCACAGAGATCTACCTGCCCCTAGTAATGTGAAGTTAAAGGCATGGGGCACTATATCCAACTGTATTGGTTCTTAAATTACTTCTTAAACCATTTTTAGCTTTTTAAAAGAATTGTTATAACCCACAAAAAATAAGACCAAACAGATTTTTTTTCTAAAGAGCATTATCTCTCAACCTTGATATGGTTACAGTCTCCCAAATAATTACCTATTAATGGTAATTTATTGGAATTTGGTAACATTTTAATGTTATAAAACACTCTTCCACTCTGATATCTGTGTATACTCTAGAGTTAGATTTCAGGAATTGGAGTAGACCTACATCTAACATCAATGCTGTAGGCAGTAAGGAAAGACTTATTGAAAATGCAAGTGAGAGTAATGGTGGTCTACTTGTTTGAGCAGTTTGGGAAAGGCCCCTGTTTTAGTCATACGTAATACATATGAATGTGAAAAAAAATTTAGAATTTCTAATCAGAGTCTCTGTGGAAAAGGCTATTTTATTCAGGTTAGTTATTTTGGATTCGAAGCCATAGGATTTAATTTCTGCTTTATTTAAGCTGTGAGTACAAATTAAAACTCTTAGTCTCTGATACTCTATCAGTAGGTAGCTCTTTACTTCCTGTGAATAAAAGAATAAATAAATGGGTATGAATAAATAAAATTATTGAGTGCTAACATGAGAGCCAGATATTATATAAGTTATTATAAGTCTAAAATTAAGACGTTGTTCATGTTTAGAGAAGTTTTTCAACTATCTTGTAGAAGGTAAACATACCAAAAGATAAGAAGTTAACAATGTGCTTAGCACTAACAGAACTAGAAAAAAGCGCTCTGGGAACATAGAAGATGTCGCAAATTGATTCTATAGGTGAAGTAAGGAATATTTCATGAAGGTATTTTTGATTTTCCAAAGTGAAAACAGAAAAATTAATTTTAAATTGAGAGCACAAGTATATATACATTGTGTGGTATGCTCAAAAACATTGGGAACATGAATCTTTATTCAATCTTAATGAAATTCACCAATATCGTTTGGAGATAGCTCCATGCTGTGGTTGTTACTCAAATGGGTATTAATCTGGTAGTTCAGACCAGCAGTCTAAGTTCAAACTATGTTCCTGTGGGACACATTGTTCTGTAAGCAATTTTTGTAAGGCATTCACACATTTTAAAACATATGTACTAGTTATGAGGCTTTTAAAAACGGGAGGATTTCAAATGGATATGCTGATATTATACATTTTTACAAATCAAAACAGTTGTCATTACTACTGAATAATGTAGTTGTGAATGTGTGTGTGGATATGTTGCACATGGCTGCCAGTGCCCTCAGATGTCAGAGGCATCACATCTGGAGTTACTGGCAGTTTGAGCCCTATATTTTGGTGTTGGGAATCAAATCCCCTATAAGAGGATATGTGTTTTTCACCATTGAATGATCATTCTAGCTACTCCTGTCTTAAAAATCATAACTGCATTCCAGTTTTCTGTATGTTTGTGGCTTTACTGGTCTTCACTATTATATTCTAGGGAATAGCAAGGAGAAATTTATAAACTTGTAGTTTTCTATTTACTTCTTTGTTTAGAATTGGTAAGGGTTATCATCTCCATTGATATTAAATATAAATTATTTCCTTAGGTTTTCTTTCTTCTTAGACTATCAGAGGTTCTCTTATATGAAAGATTAGCAAACATCTATTCCTCATCTGTTAATAATAATAAAACCTCCATGTTGAACAAGTACCTAAATATCTGGCATTCTAATATTCATGTTCTTAAGTAAGGTTGGGGGTGACATGATCCTGTGGGAAGTCAGTACCGTCATGATTCTTTCATTTCCTTTTGAACAGCTTGCTTTAGAATACCGCTGGGAAATACTAAACCTTAGGACTTAAGTTGTATTTACCTATTTTTGGCATTATAAGATATATTCCTTTTTGTTTTTTGTTTGTACAATCTGAAGAAGAATCTGTTTGCTTTCTTAAATAAAATTCCCCATCTGTAAACCTTACTTGTCAAGGAGTTTTCAGAATCTAAGTCAGCTTTCCTTTCAGATTTGTTTTATTCTGTTTCTTCTTCCTCCTCCTTTGTGAGAGCTCCTCCATGCTTCCATTCATTTCCCTTTCTTTCCCTAGTTTGAAGCTGCCTGGGCATTAACCAATATAGCATCTGGAACTTTTCTGCATACCAAGGTAGTGATTGAAACTGGGGCTGTTCCAATTTTTATCAGACTTCTCACTTCAGAACATGAAGATGTACAGGAACAGGTAAGTTTCTAAATGTGCAGCATGTTGTATATAGAGATTTTAATTTTCTCCTTAAAGTATTACTTGTAACTTTGTTCTCTACTTCATTTTTATGCATAGTTTGTCTAACATTTATTTATTAAAACACATTAGTTTCTTCTCAGTCTCTGATGAGAAGTGGGAAAGATAAGCCACTTTTGGCATGATTCTGGGTTTCTAATGAGAATATTCTCAGCCCAGGATCTACTGTGAGGTATTAGAGGGAATACTCCCAAAGTCACTGTGTGGCTCAAGGCTTACATCTGGGATGCTCTGATTGTTTAATGTAGGGTTGTAGGTCCTGCATCTGCTCTGCCACAGAGCATAGCCGCTTATAGAGGGGGGATATGGGAGTTGACCAGGCTTATCCCACACCTTCGCTAGTCGGATATTGGGCTGAGGCATGGAACAGCTGGAGCTGGTTGAGGAAACCCCAGGCCTGCAGCAAGGCTGAGGCCATCTGGTTCTCAGGCTTTTGGATATCTAGGTGCTGCTGGAAGCTGCAGAAGAGCTGAGAACAGAGTGGAGGCCCCTAAGCTGGACCTAGTGGTGGTGGTGGTGGGGAGTGAAGGCGGAGGGAGGAGCTCTGCCTGGTCCCATGGGGATGAGTCCTTGGTTTGATGGCTGCAAGCTTGAGCTTGTCTTGGTGGCATCCGTGCCTGGGAGCACAGAGAGGCCTTCTATGGGAGATTAGATGGCCTTTCTATAGGCAAAATCCTTCTCCATGGTTCCCCACGGTGAATACCGATGAAGAGAGACAGTCCATGGTTCTAAGGCATTTATTTTCATGGTGGAAAGTGTAAAACCATACCTCACTTCTCAGGGTGGGCCTGAGATTAAATACCGTTTGCAGGAAGGAATATCTGGAAAGGAAAGCTTATTGGCTAAGCCCTTCAGGCCTTTAGGTACTTCATTAAAGTGAAGATCTGACTTGAGCCTGTGGAGGAACTTGAGGTGTTTATTGCCCTTTTGTGACTGAAGGCCACAAATCTATGGGGAGCTGTGTCTAGTGACAGGGACCTGGTACTCGGGTACTGTCCCTTAAGGGTCTCTGGGGCTTTTAGCCTTAGCTCAACCAGGGACCACGATACCTTTCACAGTCCCACAGTTTAAGACATACATTTTTGTTCATAAAGAAAAATATTATGTTACTTTGAATTGAGTCATTGTCTTAGTTAGGGTTTTACTATGAACAGACACCATGACCAAGGCAAGTCTTATAAGGAACATTTAATTGGGACTCGCTTACAGGTACAGAGGTTCAGTTCATTATCATCATGGCAAGAAGCACGGCAGCATCCAGGAAGGCATGATACAGGAGGAACTGAGAGTTCTACATCTTCATCTGAAGGCTGTTGGTAGTAGACTGACTTCTGGGCAGCTAGGGTGAAGGTCTTAAGCCCATGCCCACAGTGACACACCTACTCCAACCAGGTCATACCTACTCTAACAAGGCCACATCTCCAAATAGTGCCACTCCCTGGGCCAAGCATATACAAACCATCACAGTCATTTTAATAGAGTTCAGAAGTAAATTTTCAGACTTGTTCTAAGAGGGCCCATTTGATAACATGATTAAACCATAGAAAGAAGCTCAAGTTTTGAGTACTTTTGTTCTTGCAATCCTTGTTAATCTGTTGATCTCCTGTTTCATTCATCATTTAGTTTTGTGAAATTTTGTATTCACTTACCATTAATATTGGAAGGTTTTTTTATGGCATTACTTACTTTTCCAAAAAATTATTGCTAATTGTCCAAACACAAATTTTTTCATATTTTTCAATAATTTGTTATCTATTCCTTAATTGTACATTTGCTATCTCTAGCTTACTGGTATTAATAAATAGTTGTGAACATCATTATGTATTGGTTTTTATGTGCTTTTGTATTACCTGGTTATAGTCATCACTAGAATGTAAGGGAAAGCTTTTAAATGTCCTTATGTTTTAAAATATCATAGAATTTCACTTAAAGTTTTTCTTTCCTATTTCCTTGCTTTTATTTTTTTCACATGTTCTTGAAACTCACTGTTTTTTTTTTTTTATAGTAAAAGTCTTAATAAATAGTTTCTGTCTGGTTTAGGATATTGTCTTAAGAGTACTTTTTTATTTTTCTCAGGCTGTTTGGGCACTTGGTAACATTGCTGGTGACAATGCAGAATGCAGAGATTTTGTTTTGAATTGTGAAATACTTCCACCTCTTTTAGAGTAAGTATTTTGTTTCAGTTTATCATAATTAAGTTAATTTTACATTTGGAAAAATAAAAATATATACTCCTACATTTCTATATAACAGTTAAATTTCCAAATAATATTTTGTAGTTTTTGCCTATGTTGGCCAGACCTAAAATTACTTGAAAGCAGGTAAAACCAGGGGAAAAAAAAACATTCAAATTGTATTCTTTTTTAAAAATGTCTTTTATGTTCTTTTAATCTGTGCTTATTAATAGTCGTCACTTACTTGATGCCTTCAGTGCTAAAATAATTCTAACAGGCACATGTACTACTTTACAATATAACATTTAAATGTTCTCATAGTGTGAAATCTTTTTTCTTTAAGATTAAAAACGTTGTGAGTATATTATGTGTGTGTTTGAAATGGGGTGTGTACACTTGACTGCAGGTGTCCACAGAGGCCAAAGAGGATGTCAGATCCCCGAAACTAGAGTTGCAGGCAGTTGTGATTCTCCTCTGGCTGCTTTACTTATAAGATTTATTTTTCTATTTACGTGCATGTGTCTGTGTTCGGAGTATGTTCAAGTGAGTGCAGGTGCCTGAGAAGACCAGAAGAGGGTATCAGAGCTTCTGGGTTACAGTGGTTGCCTGATATGAGTACGGGGAAAGGAACTCCAGTCTTCTGGAAGAACAACAAGTGTTCTTAAATGCTGAGCCGCCTAGCTGCTTCACATTTAAAAATAAGTTATACTATGACATAAGATAAAAGATGTTTGAAAGAGAATTTTTTATACAGTATAATTAGCATTCACTGAAAGTACATTTAGCTTAGGTGTCAATGAAAAGTACTATGAAAGAAAAATTTAATCAAAGAGATGATTGGAAGAAAAAATAACTATTACTCTGTGTCATTCTCCATCCTTTTCAGGGTAGGAGTTAAATAGAATAAATGTAAACATTTAGACTGTAGTTTACAACCCTTTGTTCTAATAGACAACAATAGAGAAATGATTTCTTGGCATGAGTTAATACTATTAACTTCAATTAAGAACCAGTTGCATGCAGGCCACTGAACTGTTTAGGTTTGTTGGTAACTGAGCAAACCTAAGTTAATAGAGGACAAAAAACCCAGTCCTAGCTGTGTACTGCTAGATATTCATATAACACATTTTAGAAGGAATGTTTTATTATGAAATTTGACTATAGAAAGTTGAACATTTTATTGAAAATTCGAGAAGTATGCCTTGTACAGTGAGGCACACCTGTAATCCCTACATTGGGGAGCTTGAGGCAGGAAGATCAGGGGTTCAAGATCATTCTCTACTGTATGAATCCCTGTCTCAGTGAGGAGGAGGAGAAGGGAGTCAAAGAAAATATTGACAAGTTGGAAAAGAAGTAAAGCAGGCTAGCTACCAGTCGTTTTAAAGGAAGCCACTAGCTTTAAAATGATGATGAATTGTCTATTACATTGAAATTTACTCAGCTATTATTTAAGTAAATATACATTTTTTAGTAATGTCATGTGATCATTTCTTGTTGAAGTTTTATTTATTATGTTGATAATTAATTTGATTCTTAGTAAATATAAGTCTTTTAATTCTATAGACTATATGTTAACACAACTTTATTTAAATGTAACTTAATTTTAATGTATAATTTTGTATTATTGTCCTTTCTGCCGATTTGTTTTATATCACTGGAATTGAGAAGTCTAAAAGATTTGCTGAAAAAAACTTGCCAAATTAAAGTATATAATATAGACAAAAGAAAACAGTTTTATCATTTTGTTTTAAAATGAAATGTATTTTTTAGAGGCTTCATTTGTTTACAGGAAAATCTTGAACAGAGGTTTAGTTCTTTTCCAGATAATATAAAACTTAGGAGGATGTAGGATAACCTAGGAGTCAAACTTCTGTACATGTTCATGATGGAGTTTCTAAATTGCTTTAATTGGTCTTGGAAAACTCAGTTGAGGTGGGTGGCACTATTCCATAGGCTGGAATTTTATTCAGTCCTGGGCTGAATAAAAAATGATAAATGAAGTGAGTACCAGTATTCACTACCATCTGCTTCCTGTGGATGGTGTATCTACTGTGTACAGTTGCCTCGAGCTCTTACTACCAGGCCTTCCCCACCATGATGGACGCTACCTTCAAACTGTGACCTAATATATACTCTTTCTTAAGATTATTTTTTCTTTTTTAGATAGCATCTTATACTTGATTGGATGTAGTTTAGCTTGGATTTTTTGTGTGTATCCTGGGATGACCTCATGGCAGTCTTCCTACTTCAGACTCTTTTTCTGGGATTATAGGATGAATGAGGTGCTATGCCCAGCTCATTTTAACCCTTTTATATTCTTCTATTCAGTGGCATCAAGTATATTTCTAGTGTTAAACAGTTATCAACACTATGGACTTTCTGAATTTTTTTGTTCAACTCAGACCTAATGCTCATTAAACAGTCCCATCCCAGTTCAGCATCACAGTCCTTGGAAACTAAAATCTGTTTTATGTCTTTACCTTTTCTGGACATGTCATAAATTGAATATTCTAACATGATCTTTGTGTCTGGGTTGTTTCTCTTACTGTATTGTTTTCAGACTTCACTTGTTTTGTTTCATTTTATGGCTGAATAACATTCCATTTTTGCAAAAAAAGTAATTGCCACTCTGAATCTATAGATTGAATTCTTAACAATAGAAAACATGGATTATAATGTAACTTATTTAGGTATTTAAATATTTTGTAATTTTTAGTAAGTAAGTCTTACACCTTCTAAGGTAGTCTCCAGTTTACATTGGTTGAACATATGATTGGTTTGATGGTTTAACAGTGAAACATTTCACAGAAGCTGTTTTTTTAACTTTTGACCTTTTCCTGGATTAGCAGTATGTGAGTGATACTCTTGTGATTCCAGGAAGTAGTGGCAAACTTCAGCTTCTAGTTAGCCAAAAGATGAGAGCAAACAACTGATCCCATGTAAAGAACTGTGTTTCTATGCTCTTTTGGTAGGTATGTATAACCCTGGGCCTTTCTACGCCTGTTCCAGTTCTGAATAATGACACAGAGGCTATATTTATAAGCTTTTGGCCTTATAACTAGGCACTGTTTCCTACTAACTCGTAACTAAATTATCCCATTTATACTAAGCTAAGTTCTGCCTCATGAGTGATTAGTTACCACTCCTTCCTTCCTGCCCTGCCCTCCCCCTAACTCTACTCCTTCCCAGATTCGTTTTTTTGGAGTTCCACTTTACTATTCTGCTTTTTGTTATAGTCCATAGGCCCTTTATTTTAACCAATCAGAAGGTGATAGAGAACACTATTTACAAAGGCAGGAGATGCTGATCAGTACCAATCTCTGACCTGTAATCAGATCTCTGCTGGTTCAGAAATCAGCATTTGAATAGTACAAGCATAATCTTGACACAGTGCAGACAAATATTACTCCAGCATCTATGCTTTCTATCTGATGTTTTCTATCATTATGACACATTTTTGTAGGGAGGAAAGGCTGACTTTGGCTCACAATTTTGGAGGCTTCAGTACATGATTACTTGGCAGAGTTACTTTATGTCTCCACAAAGGTACATTGCAGGAAAGTGTGATAAGGTGAAACTGTCAACCTTCCTTCCAGTGGTCAAGAAACAAAATTAACATACAGAAAGGGCCAAAGTCCCCAAATCTTAAAGCATTCCTCCAGTGAGTTAATTTACTTCTATTGTGTATCACCTTTCAAAAGTTCTACTATCCTTTGTATCGTTAGCAAGAAATTTGAGGGCTATTTAAGATCCAAACTTAATAGTAGGTTAGATGAATTATATTTTTTCTTGCAGTGTTTTCAACTTGTGATAGATTTATTCATATTTAACTCCACCATAACCAATGGAATGTCTTTTTTTATTGTAAATAAAAGTTTCCTTCATTTTAAAAAAAAAGTGTATTTATAGGAAATGTATGGGAATTCAGTTAATTTGAGGTTTGATCTTACACCTAGCAACTTTGTGAATTTAGTACTATAACTAGTAGTTTTCTTTTTTCTTTTTGAGACGGGGTCTTACTCTGTGTCTTTGCTTTATAGATTTGTTAGATTTCTGTATATGAGATTATATCATATGTATAGAGGTAGTTTCATTTCTGTTCTCCAGTTTGGGTATTGTCTTAATTAGGGTTTTATTGCTTTGAAGAGACACCAAGACCAAGGCAACTTGTATACGTAAAACATTTAATTGGGGCTGACTTACATTTCAGAGATTCATGTAGATTCTGAGACTGAAACCTGGGTCCTCTGCATGAGCAACAACTACTCTTAGTGGGCTACTTTCCAGCCCTCTAAAAGAGATTTTTAAAAATTATGTTGTCACCCATGTGGCACTTAGTTAAGTCAGTTACTACTGTGACTCAACCTCATACTCTTGTTTATACTAAGCCTGAAGGTGGGGCTTTCCCAGGTGTTTTCCCGAGTGTGTACTCTGACCTGAAGATGTGGGTGGCTATCTAGATGTCTGATACATGAAGCTTTTCAAATGGCTTACTCTTCCAGATTATTTCACTCCCCTGTTTTTCCTTCCATGTTTTTAGTGTCTTTTGTTTACTGTGTATTCTTTGTCCTAGGTTTCTGCATTTAATAGACATTTAGATACTTTTCTACCTCTAGAGCATTCTCAGATGAGCAAAATAAAGACAAACACATACATATCCATTTTTTGTAGTCCCCACAAAGTTTGCAACATGTGTATAAGCACTTCAACCAAGGTATATGCCCTTGCTCTGCTTCCTTTGAAATTTATTCCAGCTGAATAAATTCATCTGCCAGGCTACAGAGATGGCTTTGAGCAAAGGCAAATTAAAATACCAGAAAGGTTCACTGATATATTTCAGTCCTTCCAAGGCTGTAAATTTGACAACCTTCCAGATTTCAGGGAAAGTTAGTAAGAACAGCATTTGCAAGGCAGTTCTCCTGTTTGCTGGTTTGTTTGTTTTTTCCAACCTAGGTTCTCTATATTTCTAGCAGGTTTATGAAGGCCCATAGTACCTTGCGTAATTGCATGCCTCATTTTGATGTGTGTATTCTTTCTGTAAGGTATAAAGAATTATTGTGATGTCACCGGGAGCCATTTCTTCCTAAAACTTTTTATACACACATACACTATGTTAGGGAATCTCCTATAATTAGTTTGTGTTTGTAGAGTTTAAAGGACAGCTTGTTGGAGTCAGTTCTCTGCCTCCATTATGAGAATCCTGTGGATGGAGCTCCATAGTCAGGTTTAGTGGCAACCTCTATCAGCTAAGTCACTGTCTTGGAAGTCTCCAATTTAGACATAATTAACAAAAGACATATAAGTAATTGTATTAGTTACTTTTGAATTGCTATGATGAAACACTATGAACAAAGTATCTTACAAAAAAAAAAAAAGAGTTTTTAATCGGACTTAGAGTTTCAGAGGGTTAGAGTTCATCATGGCGGAGAGAAGGCATGGTGGCTGGAGCAGCAGCTGAGAGGTCATATCCCATGTACAAGCAGGAGGTGGAGAGTGAACTGGGAATGATGGAAGGCTTTTGAAAGCTCAAGTCCATTTCCAGTGCTGCATCTCCTCCATCAGGGCCACAATTTTTAATTCTTCCAAAACAGCCACTAGTTGTGGGGAACCTGAGTATTCAAATATAAGCCTGTATGGGCCAGTCTCATTCAAACCATCAGAATAACTATTATATATTCAATATAACATATTGAATGTATGGGAAGATTGGTAATAACTTCTTAGGGAGCTGAGGGAAGAGACATCTTGTTTCAGATACTCGGTTTCTTACCATCTATCAGGATTCTTGTAAACCAGCTTACACACACACACACACACACACACACACACACACACACACACAAAGATCTGTTAAAACCAAAGAATGTCCTTTGTTAGTAACTGACCTTCATTGAATTTGACGCTCTATTCCTTGCTTTCTGATTTTTGTATAATGTATCATTTTGACATTTTTAACAAAAAGTAATTTTGTACACTTCTTCTGATATCTGTTATCTTCAATTTGTTAACAACTTCAGGATTTAGATCTAATATAATACATTTTAAGTTCTCCCTTTTTGTTTTATCAGTTTAACTATTAATTAATCAAAGAAAATTAAGAAAATAGTTGAAATGGAAAAGTGAATATAAAATGACCATTTTTTTTTCTTTTCTTGGCAGGTTATTAACAAATTCAAATAGACTTACAACCACCAGAAATGCTGTATGGGCCCTCTCAAATTTGTGTAGAGGCAAAAACCCTCCTCCAAATTTTAGTAAGGTATGAGCAAAATATACAAGTTAAGAAGTCTGCTTCTATTAATGAGTTTATGATAGATGTTTTTGAAGTTTGAAGGAATTCTTTTTGTTACTTTCTCTATGAACTAGACACTATTTAAACATTCAGCGAATTAAAGTTTATAGATTTCTACTCTTCCGTTGCCTCTCAGGTTCCTCTGGCCAGAAAGTTCCCACTATAACTAGATATTTATGTGTCTTAAAGTTGAATTAGCAAAGTTACATTTGTAGTCTAGTTCTTTTTACTTATAGGACATTGAAGTCACCCCATCCCCATATGATTAAGAACCACTGGTAGGCACTAGAAAATGGCACAGAGACTTTGGGATAAGTCATCTAACATTTCATTGGTGGTAGTTTCTAAAATATATTCAACAGTGTAAGTATAAAGAGGCCTGTGTGCAAATATTTAGAGCAACTTTATTAATAATTATAAAAATAACCTAGAAACTGTACGTGTTCCTTAGTGTATGGATGAATTAATTATGGCTTGTTCATTTTGCGAAATACAACTGAGCAGTAAGAAGGAACAAACTGCTGATGCATATATTAATCTCAAAAGCATTAAGCTAAATTAAAGGAGTATATAAATGTTTCATTTTATATGACTCCATTTACATGTTTTGAAAAAGAAATCTAAAAGAATAAAAATCATATTGGGGACTATCTGAAGTGAGAATATTGACCACCAAGGGACAGAAGGAAAAATTTTAGAATGGTGGAAGTATTTTGTAATATGATTAGATATTGGTTATCCAGCTGTATATATATTTACAGTACAAACTGACATACCAAAAGGAAATAGACTACTGAATTGTATACTTAAAGTAGATAAAATTCTTTTGTGTACACTAGCTCAATAAACTTGTATTTTTAAGGCATCTTTTAAAAATACTTAATTCTTGTTTTTTTTATTTTATTTTTTTCCTTTTTTGTCTTTCAATTCCTTATTTTGTGTACACTAGCTCAATAAACTTGTATTTTTAAGACATCTTTTAAAAATACTTAATTCTTGTTTTTTTTATTTTATTTTTTTCCTTTTTTGTCTTTTAATTCCTTATTTTGTGTACACTAGCTCAATAAACTTGTATTTTTAAGACATCTTTTAAAAATACTTAATTCTTGTTTTTTATTTAATTTTTTTCCTGTTTTGTCTTTTAGTTCCTTATTTATTTTTTATTGGATATTTTATTTACATTTCAGATATTATCCCCTTACCCCCTCCCCCCCCCCCCAGGAACCCCCTATCCCATACCCCCTCATACTTCTATGAGGATGTGCCCTCAACCTTCCCCCACACTCCTACCTCCCCACCCTCGAATTCCCACAAACACAGTATCCAGCCTTCATGGAACCAAGGATCTCCTCTCCCACCTATGCCCAACAGGGCCATCCTCCCTTACATATATAGCTGGAGCCATGAGTCCCTCCTTAAGTGCTCCCAGGCTGGTGGTTTAGACCCTGGGAGCTCTTGTTGGTTGGTAATGTTGCTTTCCTCATGGGCCCCAAACCCCTTCAGCTCCTTCAGTCTTCACTCTAACTCTTCCACTGGGAACCTGGTGATTAGTTCAATGGTAAGCTGTGAGCATCCACCTCTGAATATGTCAGACTCTGGCAGACCTCTAAGGACACAGCTATATCAGGCTCCTGTCATCATGCACTTCCTGACATGTACATCAGTGTCTACCTTTGGTGACTGCACAAGGGATGGATATACAGGTGGAATGGTCTCCAGATGGCCCCTCCTTCAGTTTCTTTCTTTTCTTTTTTTTTTTTTTTTTTTTTTTTTGAGACAGGGTTTCTCTGTATAGCCCTGGCTGTCCTGGAACTCACTCTGTAGACCAGGTTAGCTTTGAACTCAGAAATCCGCCTGCCTCTGCCTCCCAAGTGCTGGGATTAAAGGCATGCGCCACCACTGCCTGGCCCTCCTTAAGTTTCTATCCCACACTTTGTCTCCATATTTGCTCCCTTGAGTATTTTGTTACTCCTTCTAAGAAGGACCGAAGTACCCAACTTGGTCTTCCTTCTTCATGAGCTTCATATGGTCTGTGAGTTGAATATTGGGTATTTCAAGGTTCTAGGCTAATATCCAATAATCAGTGAGTGAATACCATGCGTATTCTTTTGTGATCGGGTTACCTCACTCAGGATGATATTTTCTGGTTCCATCCATTTGCCTAAGAATTTCATAAATTCATTGTTTTTAATAGCTGAGTAATACTCCATTATGTAAATGTACCACATTTTTTGTATCCATTCCTCTATTGAAGGACATCTGGGTTCTTTCCAGCTTCTGGCTATTATAAATAACGCTGCTATGAACATAATGGAGCATATGTCCTTGTTACATGTTAGAGCATCTTCTGGGTATATGCCCAGGAGTGGTGTAGCTGGGTCCTCAGGTAATGATTTTCTGAGGAACTGCCAGACTGATTTTGATTTCCAGAGTGGTTGCACCATCTTGCAATCCCACCAACAATGGAGGAGTGTTCCTCTTTCTCCACATCCTCGCCAGCATCTACTATCACCTGATTTTTTAATCTTAGCCATTCTGACTGGTGTGAGATGGAATCTCAGGGTTGTTTTGATTTGCATTTCCTTGATGACTAAGGATGCTGAACAGTTCTTTAGGTGCTTCTCAGCCATTTGAGTTTCCTCAGTTGAGAATTCTTTGTTTAGCTCTATACCCCATTTTTTAATAGGGTTATTTGGTTGTCTGGAGTCTAATTTCTTGAGTTCTTTGTATATATTAGATATTAGCCCTCTATCAGATGTGGGATTGATAAAGATCTTTTCCCAATCTATTGGTTGCCATTTTGTCGTATTGACTCTGTCCTTTACCTTACAGAACCTTTGCAATTTTATGAAGTCCCATTTGTCAATTCTTGATCTTAAAGCATATGCCATTGGTGTTCTCTTCAGGAACTTTCCCCCTGTGCCCATGTGTTTGAGGCTCTTTCCTACCTTCTCTTCTATTAGTTTCAGTGTATCTGGTTTTGAGTGAAGGTCCTTTATCCACTTGGTCTTGAGCTTTGTACAAGGAGACAAAAATGGATCAATTTGTATTCTTCTACATGTTGTCCTCCAGTTGAACCAGCACCATTTGTTGAAAATGCTATCCTTTTCCCACTGGACAGTTTTAGCTCTTGTTAAAGATCAAGTGACCATAGATGTGTGGGTTCATTTCTGGGTCTTCAATTCTTTTCCATTGATCTTCCTGCATGTCTCTGTACCAATATCATGCAGTTTTTATCACTATTGCTCTGTAGTACAGCTTGAGGTCAGGGATGGTGATTCCTCCATAAGGTTTTTTATTGTTGAGAATAGTTTTTGCTATCCTGGTTTTTTTTTGCTATTCCAGATGAATTTGCGAATTTCTCTTTCTAACTCTGTAAAGAATTGAGTTGGGATTTTAATGGGGGTTGCATTTAATCTGTAGATTGCTTTTGGCAAGATGGCCATTTTTACTATATTAATCCTGCCAATCCATGAGCATGGTAGATCTTTCTGTTTTCTGATATCTTTTTTGATTTCTTTCTTCAGAGACTTGATGTTCTTGTCATACAGATCTTTCACTTGCTTGGTTAGATTCACACCAAGGCATTTTATATTATTTGTGACTATTGTGAAGGGTGTCATTTCCCTAATTTCTTTTTCAACCTGTTTATTTTTCACATAGAGGAAGGCTACTGGTTTATTTGAGTTGAAACCAGCAACTTTGCTGAAGTTTTTTTTATCAGGTTTAGGAGTTCTCTGAGGGAAGTTTTGGGGTCACTTAAGTATACTATCATATCATCTGCATATAGTGAGATTTTGACTTCCACCTTTCCTATTTGTATCCCTTTGACTTCTTTTTGTTGTCTAATTGCTCTGGTTAGGACTTCCAGTACTATGTTGAATAAGCAGGGGGAGAGTGGGCAGCCTTGTCTAGTCCCTGATCTTAGTGCAATTGCTTCAAGTTTCTCTCCATTTAGTTCGATGTTGGCTACTGGTTTGTTGTAAATTGCTTTTACTATGTTTAGGTATGGGCCTTGAATTCCTGACCTTTCCAAGACTTTTATCATGAAGGGATATTGAATTTTGTCAAATGCTTTCTCAGCATCTAGTGATATGATCATGTGGTTTTTTTTCTTTGAGTTTGTTTATATAGTGGATTACATTGATGGATTACTGAATATTGAACCATCCCTGCATTCCTGGGTTAAAACCTACTTGATCATGATGGATGATTGTTTTGATTTGTTCTTGGATTCGATTTGCTAGAATTTTATTGAGTATTTTTGCATCGATGTTTATAAGAGAGATTGGTCTGAAGTTCTCTTTCTTTATTGGGTCTTTGTGAGGTTTGGGTATGAGTGTAATTGTAGCTTGATAGAATGAATTTGGTAGTGTTCCTTCTCTTTCTATTTTGTGGAGTAGTTTAAAGAGAATTGGTATTGGGTTTTCCTTGAAGGTCTGATAGAATTCTGCACTAAAACCATCTGGTCCTGGGCTTTTTTGGTGGGGAGACTGCTTCTGTTTTTTTAATGACTGCTGCTGTTTTCTTAAGGGTTATGGAACTGTTTTGATGGTTTATTTGCTCCTGATTTAACTTTGGTACCTGGTATCTGTCTAGAAAGTTGTCCATTTCATCCAGATTATCTAGTTTTGTTGAGTATAGCCCTTTGTAGTAGGATCTGGTGATTTTTTTGAATTTCCTCAGTTTCTGTTGTTATGTCTCCCTTTTGAGTTCTGATTTTAGTAATTTGGATACTGTCTCTGTGCTAAGGGTTTATCTATCTTGCTGATTTTTTTCAAAGAACCAGCTCCTGATTTTGTTGATATTTTGTATAGATCTTTTTGTTTCTACTTGGTTGATTTCAGCCCTGAGTTTGGTTATTTCCTGCTGTCTACTCCTCTTGGGTGTATTTGCTTCTTTTTGTTCTAGAGCTTTCAGGTGTGCTGTCAAATTGTCAATGTATGCTCTCTCTCCAGTTTCTTTTT